ACTTTACTCTACTTCAGAGTGAAATTGCGTAAAGAGGAGATTAAATCCTACCAGAAGACGATAGTGCGTGCTTCTTTGACAGCCGTTGTTTGGCCTAGTTTAATGTTCTGGTTGATGCAGTACGCAAGGAAACCTCCAATATTTAAAATGACTGGACACAATTGACTGGAGTGCCAAGTAACGATTGGCTTTATATTTGGAGAACACCAGAAAATGGAAGATTAGAGGAGCTGTGGACATCCTGTTTCAAATAAATCTCATGAACAGGAGATTGGAAGCCGAAAGAGTAAGCGATAATTTCCTGTTCTGCTCGGGCAAACCTGGAGATTCGGCAAGAACAACAGTTCAAAAGCAAGAAGAAACATCGTCAAGGCGAGGATCATTAGGGATAAAGGGAAGTTAATAAAAGGCGATTGCGATCCTGGAAGCAACCTGAAAATGTACGTGTGTGGGATAGAAAATTAAAACAGATTGTGCTTCGTTGGAGATGCTAGGCTAAAGGTAGAGGTGTGTTTGATATAGCTGCCCAGTTTGCGTGGGTTTATGCTTGCGTGCATTGTTTGAATGTGTGATTTAATGAGGGGTTAGTGAATAATGGGGAGCTGTCAACTAGCATACACATGAACAACTGATTAGTGCCATGGGCTTAGATTGGATTGTCAACTTGAGAGACAAAAGAAGTGTGCTTTGTGAGATTCAAGCATTGGAAAAGGAAGCAATGCCTTTTCACCCCAGCCGTTCTGAATTAAGCCGGACACAGGGCCGCAAAGATTTAGATAGAATGGGAGTGAGGATGAGAAAGAGGATAACTGAAGGGTGAGTTTTAGACACATGGAGAGGAAGATGTCTATGTATGGGCATCACCGGCTCTAAATCCTCGAATATGACGTAAACGGTGACGTATATTGAAGGTTCCTGGGCAGCCAGACAGTGATTTTGATGTCTAGCGGTGACCAATTGAAAAGTGGGGTGGAAGAAGAGGGAGCTGGATGAAAGTCAGAAGCCCTGCAAACGGCACCTGAAACAGGTGACGGAGATGGTCACGCTTCACTAAACTCACAATCTTAGGCGTCATTGGAGGAGGAAATGAGTGCACAGAATGGCGTGAATAGGTAAATGGGCCATATGAAGTGAGATTTAGAGAAAGAGATACGACACTAGAAGGTGGGACAAAAAATAGGGATGCTGAGTGATGTCCTAACGGTTGAACATAAAGTTGACCAATGTGTGATCTTCACTTGTCCCCTTGATATGTGGTAACTCTGATCTACCGATGACGCTTTTACTTGACGATGCGGACTATGATGTCGGAGAAACGTTTTGGAGTGTGCCAAGTCAATGGTCAGATGCTGGAAATCACGAATACCATGGCAGAGGACACATGAATAGGTACGTCTCAAAAGATCTCCCTGACGCTCAGATCAAGTTGCGAAAATAAAGTCGAACCAACACTATAGAGCTAAAGGATACTGCGAACAAACAGAAGGCCACAACATCTTGGTCTTCATATCTATGCTCGAAGAATACAGATGAAAACGTGCCAAGGTTCCCTTTATCATGACGACCAAGAGACATCGGCAGATCTGAGAACCATTCCTACAACGAGTCAACAGAACCGACCGACTCATTCTTACATGTTGCATCTATCCTCTAAACATGATTTTTTTGTAGTTAGTTTATGTGATATGTCAGTCTAGAAACATAAATGTACTTGTGCTAGCCAGAGTATAAAAAGTTAGAAAATTCAACCTTAGTCACCAAGACTTTATCACATTTTTTCATTTTTGATGTGAAAATTTTTAAATCTATGATTAATTATGGAGCATTCATGTCGTCACCCAAAATCGCTTATAATAAAAATTTCAAAAAATCATGATTGCGGGAAAATTTCATTGCCAATTCATTATCACTCTCTGCCACCGAGGGTGACTCGAACTCTTGTATAAGATTTATTGGTAGTCTCGAAATCCACTTGTTATGAATATAGTAAGTGTTTATTTCAGATATATGAATTGTTTTCACCTTATTTCATACTGCCGTACCAATCATTTCGTTTGAGAAGGCTGGTCGAAGGGATTCGTTAATTGGCCTCATCCGATACCGCAGGAGGATTGCCTTGGACTTTTTGTCTATTGAACTGTGCGAAGAACACCTCGGTTCACCGTCATACGACCCCGATTACCCCGTCACATGACGGACATAAGCTTACTATGGAGTCATCGGGGACGTAGAACGGTGAGCCAAAAGTCCAAGGCAACCTTCTTTAGGTATCCGGTGAGACCAATCTACGAATCCTTTCGGCCCGTCTTTTCAAGCAAAAGTTAAGGATGCCAGTATCATTCTATTAAGGGATTCTTTGAAAGACAGCTTTTCTTCATATTCATCCTATTTCGTTTAAGCTGATGAAGACTGGTAGCTGAATTTTCCCACAATGATATGAGTAGAGTTGACGTTTCCATTGAATTTCACATAGCCTTGCTTCCCAAAAGTTGTTATCGAAACTGCAGTCCATCCTGGATGAGAATACATTTTTGGAAGGCAAGGCTATGTGAAATGCAATGGAAACGTCATGTCTACTCATATTGTGGGAAAATTCAACTATCAGTCCTTAATCACATTAAATGATATAGAGTGAACACAAATCATATATCCGATGTAAAGGTAGTCTCGAAAACCTACTAAAAAGTCCTTATTTCAGCTCGTCTATTTGAATTGACGAGCTTTTCTGTGTGAACATTGAAAAACACAAATTTGATGGGGAAATGAATGATGAGTCTGATATGAGGAATGGCTAACTGATCGCCCAGATTGCTTGCAGACTTTGCCTACAATCAGATAAAGAGGGCTGAAGCTTGCTTTCTAAAAGGTCTTTTCCTTCCGGCTCTACTTGGGTTTAATCAGCACCCCAAAAGGGGTTCGACACTGAGCTATTACTCCACTTGACAGACCCAATTAGTACCGAAAGTGGTAGAAAATCAAGGTGCTCAAGTGTTCCATTCTGCCGCCTCTTTTGGGTGGCGGAAGGCCGAGGTAGGCGGCACCAACAATAGGGAAAACAGCCTCGCCCTTCCCTCTTCCCGTTCCTTGTCCAAGCAAAAAATGGTACCAAAAGGAAAATGGGGTAGCGCAGTCTCACCCGCCGATTGTCCCGCGAAAACTATTTGCCGTTGCTGGGCGGCCAGGGCATGATGTAGGCTATCGGCAGCCGGCAACAGGAGACTGTTGGCGCCATCTGATCCGGCCAGGCCGAAGGCCGGCGCCGAGGCGGCGGCATGTGGTCCACCGGTCAAGTGGCCGGGCTGGAGACCGAGTTGGCCATGTTGTGTCGACGTTTGAGCCTGCGAGGGGCCGACATGTGCGTGGCCCATCGTCTGAGCTTGGTGTTGCGTCATATGCTGCTGCTGCTGCTGTTGCTGTTGTTGTTGGTGGAGATGATGATGGTGATGGTGGAGGTGGGGCCGATGTGGCGGAGGGTAGGCCTGAGGGTGTGATTGTCGGAGGCTGGAGGCGCCGGGGTTGGGCGACTGTGGGAAGCCGGCGTGCCGGAGTTGGCTCGAGTGCATGTGTGGCAGTTGCTGTTGCTGTTGTGGCGGCTGTTGCTGTGGCAACGGCAGTAGTTGCGCATGCATGTAAGTGTGCAAGTGTGGGTGCGGCGGTGGTGGTGCCGCCGTGTGTGCGTGTGCGTGGGCATGCGGATGCCCGGGGGGCCCCGGGTGGCCCAGGTGGGAGTGATGTGTGTGGTGCGGTAGACGATGGGACTGCTGGGCGGCCTGGAGACTCTGGTGGCTCGGGTGGTTCGGGTGACCGGGCGTCAAGGGATGCTGCAGAAGCAGACGTATCCCAGTCAGGCTGGCCGAGGGCGAAGACGCCGAGGATGGGTTGGCCGGAACCGAGGCATTCGGGGCGACTGAGACAGCGGATGGAGCATGCAGCTGAGAAAGGCTGGAGTCATAGAGGCCTCTGCCCAATGGCCCCGGATCGGCCAGCATTCCGGCCGACATCGGGACTGGTTGGCTGCAAGATCTGCATCGAGGAAAGTGAGAGTGTGTGTG